TGGGATGATCAACTGTGCTCTGTTGCTTGGAATCAGTGGCACCTGTATTGGAGGTCGAAGTAGCCAAAGGAGCTCCCAGGGGACTGGTAGCCTGATGGCCTTGCACGTCATCAGTCATGGCAGGAGAAGAGGAGGGTCCGTCTCTTTTGAGGCCAGTGTTTGCAATCTGGAAGGAATCATACCATCAGCTGGAGTGCGTGATGATGAAGTCTCATTGGAAGGAATCGGAGCTTGCGGCTGTGTCGGGGCACCTGTGCCTGCCAAGCTCTCTGCACGCAGAACCATCAGCTGGAAGAGTACCTTGCAATGATGTGTGTGAGCAAAGTCCACATGACAGAAGGTGCAAGGAGACAGCATAGATCCATGCCAATGTTGGTACAATCCAGAAGCTTGGGCGGCCAATGAAGTGTGCTCCAAAGCCAAATGATGAGTCATGTCCTGAAAACGTAGCAGCTGAGTTCCACAAAGAATGCAGTGACTTCGGAGGTAGTCCCCAACGCATGGATTCAGGCTGAGACCAGTGGGATCAACCTCCAAGATCTGTGGCTGCAAACTGGTACGGGCATTGGCCAGGGAGGTCGACATCACCTGCAACGGGTCAAAAAGAGGACATGATGCGTGTTCAATATGAGTTCGAAGTGCATTCCAACATGGAAACGAATGATGGCAATGCCTGCAAATAGACGTTCCGTCCACAGAGTCTCGGACTGCAGAGAAGGCCTGAACTCGTTTGTGTTTGACTCTATGTGTATTGCCCTCATGAGTCAACAATGCTTGGATACTTGAGAACGCCACTCCACACGTTCTGCACTCGAATGCCGCGGAAGCCACCGTCAGGTCAGGGCCTCCAGTGGTGAGTTGCTCAATCTGTTCAAGCATGGATCGTGTTCCTGTAAGCGGGAGTCGGTGCAGAACATCCGTCTGAGGTCGTAGCCCGAGCTTGGCTGTATGGCCAGTCAGGATGCGCAAACAGCAGCGGTGAAGAAACTGAAGTGGATGCTCAATCTGATTCTGCTGAAAAAAAGTGTGTATGTGAATCTCTTGTCCGATGTGAATGATTCATGTAGATCATCCTTTGCATGGTCACCAAAAGACTCACCAGCCGCTTGAGCCCAGCCAGTGTCACGCCAGTTGCCCAAATACCATACGTCATGGTTGTGCGGACGACACTCTCCCAAAGTTTCTTTCTTTGGTCTTTGTCCAGCCCTTTTTTACCATAAAGCCATCGATGTAGGCGTCGATTTGCCTGAAGTCCAGCAGCCACCCTATGCTCCAATGTGAGTTTTTCAAAGTTACCATAGCTCAGCTTGCATCCCAAATATTTGAGGTCCGCCACCAACTTGATTTTTGTGGCGTTCCCATTGGAGCGGGGCACAAGCAAGAACCATTGGTGTGCTTGCTCAACAAGGACGCGGGATTGAAGTTTCTTGAACTTCTTGCCAGCAATCTGAAACAAGGCCACAGTCTTGGTGAGGTTCATGGATAATCCTGTTGTATCCAGAATATCAAACAAAGTCCCAACAAAGTGCAGGTGATCCCATAAATCTTGTTCACAGGTGATCTGGCATTGGAGAAGAAAATCATCTGCGTATAAGGTCAGGACCTTGAGAACCCACTCAGGACTGGTGCTTTCCGCAAGGCGAGTCATGAGTCTGGACATGCTACTTGCCCACAAAAATGGTGCTGCTCGGCATCCCTGTCTGACACCCAGCGCAACACTGACATGGTCTTGATGACCTTTATGTTCAAGCCAGTATCTCGTTCCAACATGCCACTCCTGCAAAAGAGTCACACAAGCCCCATCCACTCCTAGTTGGCGAAGGCCATCAAATAGGTCAGGTCTAGGAAGACTATCAAAAGCTCGTTTCAAATCAATGCTGATGGTCAGCCCTCCATACAGACTCGAACTTTGGTTAGACGAGTTGAGACTTTGCGGTCGCCTCATGCTATGGAGGAGAGCACGAACCTTCTGACAGTGGTCAGCTGCCCTGCTAATGGCCTCGTGTGTGCCCCGATGGGGAAGGTAGGCATATTGATGTTGTGCACACAGTTGATCTAACACACTATTCCTGGCAATAGCGGTGAGAAGGCCTAGAATCGTGGTTCCTAACGGGTCTTGGAGCGCAAGAGGCCGCAAGTTGGCAGCAGTATCAGGAGGTTTGCCAGGCTTGGGCAACAAAAACAAAGAACCGTCTTTCCATTGCTGTGGAATGAAAGGGGGGTTATGTGACCACCAACGCTGCAACAGGGGGTAAAGTTGAGCAGTCGTCTCATGTGGAATGGCCTTTAAGCATCCATTGGGACATGTGCCCGGTGCAGTGCTCTTCATGATATTAAGGCGCGCAAACGCTCGCGTCAGTTCATCCTCACTGAACGGGACACCTGGCGCCAGTCCAGTCGGAGACTGCAGTTGAGGGCCAGCCCATGCAGTACAGACATAATGCTTCAAGTGTGCAAAGGCCTCAACCGGACTCAACAACTCCCCTTGACTCCCTCGGAGGTTGATCTTCGGAAGAACAACTTTGGGTGAGAGCTTCCGAACAATGGCATGTAGGGCAAACAAGTCATGTCTAGAGGCTGCAAAACGAGCCTCTGAGATCAAAAGATCAAACCGATCTTTCCTTGCCTGGCGTGATGCCAGTTGCTGTTGTACATGGCATTTATGATGTGCAGTGATCAAATGCCAACATCTGAAGCAGCTAGCAATACCAGGACTAGTCAGTTTACGGATCTGCGCAAGGAGGTCCCACTTAGTGGCCATAAGTCCTTTAGTTTTATTCCAAGGGGCCTCAACAGCTTTCTGACGATTAAACATCTGTTGAAAGTTTGATGTGAGGCGATCCTGTGTGTGTTGAACATCATGCACATCAGTCCAGCGGGCCTCAGTCAAAATTGCCGTGTTGGCAGTAAGAAAGGTGCTCCATCGAACAGGGCCCTGTTGTGCAGATCTACACATGACACGACTTTGGTACGTGATGCGATTCAGCGCCGCTCCAGATGAAGGACGCCAGGCAAGATTTAATGAACCAATCAAAGGACGGTGGCCTATTTTAGCAGTACCCAGAAGATCAAATGATTCCAAAGGCATACATTCAAGCGTTTCTCTATCCGTTTGACGAGTCCGTACAAAAATGTAGTCAATTCGGGACAAATCACCCTTGGCAGTTCGACAGGTAGGTCCAGTGTCTTGTCGCCAAGTGTTGATGGCACACAAATCATGTGTTCGAACAAGTTCAAGGTGTTTGTTCCAGTCCTCATGTAATGAGACCAGTTGGCGGCCAGTCGAACTCAGGAAGTCAGAAGTTCCAATGTGAGGCCTGGATTGTGGGAGGCCACAGTTCCAATCTCCAAGTAACACAAGGTTATTCCGGTTAGGGATTTCATGGAGAAGCGAATCAAGTGAGCGAATCCAATGCATTCTGTTCTGCTTACAAGAGTATTTATTGACATAAACATGTTGATAGCAGCCAATCAGGTCAAGAGGCCTATCTAAGTATAGCCGAACATGAATCAGGCGACCAGCAACAATCGACCTCCAACTGACTTGACTTTGCTGACAGAGGGTGGTGCGAATCATAAAGAGCATGCCACATGATCGAAACGGTTCTCCACTGCATGCAATGTGGATCCAGCCACCTTCAATCCATTCACGATCAAACTGCCAGCGAGTCTCAGAGATGAGCACCACTTGAAAGGGTTGCTCAGCCAGCCAGTGTCGAAGTTCATCCAATTTCCAAGCTGCCAGGCCCGTGCTATTCCATGCCAGGACATGTATCCGCTTCCTGAGGTCGCGTGGAACGGAACGAGGCTGTGTCGATTTGATGGGTGGTGCAATCGACGAAGAAGGCTCAGAGCATCCAAGTTGAGCTCTATCTAGAAGCTTACCTCGATACCAGGTAAAACCGTTACGAAGAGCTCGGCCTTTGGCCCTACGAAAGCTGCGCTTCGAGTGGGGGTGCATTCTTTTGAAGGTCCCCCAACAAACCGGCCCGATGCCATGGATTTTCGCAGAGGATGCATCGTCGTCTATCGAGCGAATGGAGGTCTCTGCTCTCAGGTGAGGCATGGCCCTCACCCAACCCTCGCCCCTACTGGGAGTAAGGTTCCAACAAAAATAAGTCGAAGCAAGGCTACCCAGCCCGTGGACTTGGGACCACGGTTGTAGATTTCCAAGGAAACAAGTGGGGATCAAGGTGCGTTTCGACCGACCCAAGGTTGCTTCAATGCGACGGTGGCCGCGCAAGAGCGTGCCAGGTCCAATGGGCCGCGCAGGCAGCGGTTGCAGCAGAAAAAGTGTCGTCAGCACTAGCCACGCCGCCAGCCACTGCATGTACGCGAGTCACGGTCGAAAACGCGTCAGGATGATCCTCAGCATCCTTGATTACAAAGGGGCTTCAACAACAACAACAACAACAACAACAACAACAACAACAACAACAACAACAACAACAACAACACCAGCAGCAGCAGCAGCAGCAGCAACCACCACCACCACCACCACCACCACCACCACCACCACCACCACCCCTCAAACGAGAATCACGGCCTCCTCGACCGGGCGGTCCGGTACTCGAATCACGACATCGTTTGGGGGGTGACCTCGCTGTCAACCCTCACCTATTTTCATTCCGACAAACACCCCGCGACCGAACAACAACAACCCATGAACGATCAGCATGAAAAGAGAGCAGGCCTTTGCTCCCATCTCCCACTGTTTTGGGAATTGAACTTTTCAATCACTTGAACGTGACAAGTCTTTATATTTTCTAAACCTTGCCAGTTGGTACATGTTGGGACAAATTTTCATACGGGTTGACGGTTGACTGATTTAAATTCGTGATGAAATCTCCCGCGGAATCGCTTCAGTCCCAAGGACCAAGATCTTCATCGCCGAGCGATTGAGCCTCTTCGTGCGTGTGCTGGCCTTGCCGCAGCGGGTGGTGTTTCATCACTTCTCTCCTCTTCTACACGCTTCAAGACCGTCCTTGTTGCATGCTTTTATGGTGGTCAATGCCCTTTTTGCCAAGGAGGCAGGGGAGGTCTGCTCCGTTATACAAACCAAATGAGATGGTTTCATATGGTTTCATGTTTTATCGTTGGTGTCATGCCAGTTTCCAAACTGTTTTGGTAGTTAGATTTGGGACTGCTCCCAATTTAATGGATGCGATGGATGGGCGTATTCAACAACTCTCCCCACTCCAGAATCCTGAGCTGTTCAATTCCCATAGAAGAGTCGTGTGACGACTGCGACACTCGTGAAACGCTCCTACAAATCAGGATTCGATGCAAGTTCCAGAAAGCATCAGAATTCCACCATCACATCCATGTTCTTTCCACACCTGTTGAATCATTTTGAAGACTTCCATTATCCCGTTTGAAATCTACCATTTGCTTTCCCCCTATGACCCTTGTGTATCTCTCACCCCCGGCCTGGCCGCTCGCTTCTCACCCGGTCGCCTCTTCTACCTCGCTTCTTCTCGGGTCCGGAGGTCGAGAAGTCCTTGGTGGAGGCGGTGCTGCATCGACTGTTCGCCTTGTTACAGGATGGTGCGATGGAACCATGCTTCCGGATGCTCTCGGTGAGTCACCGGGAGGAGATGGGAGGATGGCGGCCAGTGGATGAGAGCTTGTGGCGTTGTGGCGGGTGGAGGTGGAGGTTTTTGGTGTTGCTCTGCGAAGAACACCACCCCGCACCAGCATTGTGAGGGGACAACGGGCTACCCTCAGTTCTTGATGTGTTATTGCACTAGCAGAAGGCTATGTTGGACCTTTCAGGGCTCATCTTGGGGGCAAGTATCGTTCTTTGGTTGAGATAGCAGCAAAGATCGAAGAAAAACATTGGAACGGAACTCGGAACTGGAAATGGTATCGGAATGAATGGATACACTGATACACATTCAAGACCCCTGTGAACATGCCCAAGACGGTCGAGATGCTGACAGATTGTATGGAGCAGGAACCGGGCACACATGACATGCACAAGTTGCATGTCCCGTGGCCACAAGTTGTTGAGCCCATATGGCGAAATCTCGCCCCTGAGCGTCCACCACAGCCATCTGGGTTTTGGTTCTTCGACTAGTCCACCGCGCCCCAAACTTGCCCATGCTGGGCTCCAGCAAGCCCCAAGAACGCATTCCTCATGTTGAACTATTTTGGGCCTGTCGCTTAAGGTTGGGGGTGGGTGGGGCCACGCCTAGTGCCAACGTCCTCGCAAACTACAGCTACAGCCCGTTGCAATGGACCCGGAGTCGTGACACGAAGTGATTATGATTATGCCTCAGCACCTTCGGCACGGGCAGAGTTCTTTGACGGTTGGGGGTTGATGGGTTGAGCACCCAAGGCTTCCAGAGGCCCTGGTCTCAAATTGGGAAACATTTTCAATCTTTGGGTTCTACTGAATTGGATTGACAAACATGTCGAAATGCACACAGACGTTGAAGACTGGGCAACTGCATTTCAGCTGTCAATAAGTTTTCTCCTTATCATCCGTTTCTTTTTTTGCGAGCCAAATTGGTTCAAGGTTGGCTGATTGCATTGACCACCAAGTTTTCCTTCGATCTGCTTTGGGCGAGAGTTGAAGAACTTTGCCCTCGGTGGCATGTACCTCTTTTGCAAGGGCGGGCTTCACACTGCGTAAAGGGACGCAAAGATGACAAACGGCAAGCCCTCAAAGCTCAGGGCCTTACAAAGGGTTTGGTTTTTCTTGTTCCCACAAACGCGGTGGTTAGACAGCTTTTTGGCAGGCCAGGGTTCCCCGACAATATTTGGAGAGTTCCGTTATCTCGCCGATTTGTTCAGTCTCAATTTGGCACTCGTTCAGCAGATGCTACTTGATCTACTTGACTTGTGCTGCGTCACTGGTCGCAATCCCGCATTTTCCTGCCATTTTTTGCTTTTATTCACACACTAGACGGACAGTTACCAGATGTTGGACATTCTTTGGCCTGCCGAAATCATGCTCATGCAGTCTACATTTCCTCATGTTTGTCATCCAGCTAAGGATCCCTTGGAGCTCAAGGAAGTGAAACTTCAGGCCGAGCTCACCGACGCTCGCGACCGCTCGACCGCTCCGCGCGGCAGGCCCTGCTTTACTGCTTCAAGCTGTCCGGCGGCACGTTGCCGAAGAACCTGTTGGCACGCGGGTTGACTGGGAACATGGTTGGCTAAGGCGAAAGGTATAGACAGCCTGTACTGATGGTTCGATGATCTTTATACATTTTTAACATGGTTTATGCACAAGGCAGAATAAGGCAGATTAGTTTTGCCGGAAGTGAGCCATCTTCGATTTGTACGTACCGTAAAACCCACAACCGGAGTAGCGAGTGACAAAAAACACAATTGTAAGCAAGGGAACTGGCTTTGTTTGAAACACACTTGAGGGAGTTTGAGGGATGATCTTGAGGCATTCATTTGAACACCAACTAACACAAGCGGCCCACAGATAGTCCTGGAGTCCTTGTCGGAGTTCAAGTATTGCCACAGACCAGCAGGCTTCTCAGTCACTGTGATGGCCTTCACCCCTCCGAAACACCGAGCACCAAGTCTACCCCTGGTTCAGCATTCAAACGTGAAACCTTCATGCTTCACTTTCAGACTAGGCATGCACGGGAGGCTTCCACCATGACTAGGAGTCTCCATCGAGTCTCCAGCGGTTCGTTGGATATTCTCTCACATCACTGTTCATTTGTCCGTTGAAACGGCCTCATCATGCCTTCCTGTTGCTGGTGCGACGCGCACGGGGCTTGTTCAGAATCTCCCAGGTTGGGGCCCATGCTGTGGTCTTCCGCTTTTTGCTGCGGGTGCTCACTGATGCTTGGCAGCAGCTGCCACCCAGAAACACCTACAGGCTGTGCTGACATTCTTCTCATGTGAGTTTATCCCCGGCAGAACCTTCAAATCATTGCCGATCCGAGCATCATGAGCTGGATATGTTTATTCGTATTGAAGTCAAGATGCCGAGATCAGAGCCAGATCTTCCCTAAGTCAACATGGGCAGGTCTAAAGAAAGGTAGTTCCAGCGGATACATGTTTCTGAACCACCTTTTCTCGGTCTGTCGGTGACGGCCTCAGATCACGTTTTGGCGACTGTCTCCCGCTAGCAACGATGCTCAAGCCATCCTCCTTCAGCTCTGCGTCTCAACCCTCTTGGGTTGCAGGTCATCAAGCAAAGGGTGAATGGTGTTGCAGGTCATCCTTGTCTGCAGGCTACCAATCTGTGGCCCCCCCAGCCGCAGACGAAGACGAACGGAAGACCACCGCGATTGCACGAAACCCAAGTCTTTGAATCCCCTCGGCTTTTCTGAAGAATCCCAAGCGACCCTGTTGTACGCGACCCCCCTGGACGGGTTGCTCCAAGGACTTTCCTTCGGAAATGGATCGCTTGGAGGCGCCGTCCGGCAATGTTTGGGGTAGTCTTTTTGGCCAACATTTTGAGTGGCCTTTATCAGCCCTGAAAGTTACATATGTATTTACACATGTTTCGCAACTGTACATGGATCAGTCATTAGGTGATTCAATGAATTGGTTTAAGGGAACATTTGCAAGAAACCCTTGTTTTGACCACCAAAACTATGGATTTTCCCTTTAACCAATTCTGGGAGTGATTCAACTCAGTTGCTTAAAAAAAGAACCTGCTGTTATCCTGACAATTGGGTTTCCTCTCCAAGGGAGCCAGGTCATCCGTGCTGAAACATTTCGTGGAAGGGAGCCATTGGGCTACAGCTTGTCTGGCCACCGAGCTCGCTGTACTGCTCTCACCCTAAAGCTGGGGCGAGTGGTCTCTCCCCCTTTTTCCACACCGGCCGATGACGATGACGCGAACGGACAGACGATGACGATGACGCTTCCCTTTCGATGTTCCAGGTACCACAAGAGCTTTGTGATATGCTGCGGGCTGCCCTGGATCAGAGGGATTTGGTAAGAAGAGTGTGAGGTAAGAAGAGTGTTGCAGAGCGATTTTGCCAAGTGCTCTGAATGGAGATGGCCAGTGGTCTGCCAGGAGGCTGGGTGAAGAGGTTCACTTGTCGAAAAGATTCACTTTGCAAGGATGAAGCGTTGCAGCACATCAATTAATTAGTTTAGATCAGCATGGTGGCACAAAGCCGAAAGTTGTCCGGGGCAAGTTGCAAATCAGTTTGAGGATGTTCGAGGTATTGCAACAGTGCAACAGCAAGATTTTCTTTGCCCCTGAAATGGTTTCTCGAAAGCCAAAGTGATGGTGGTATGGAGTTTTGATTAAACAAAGGACAGTGCCCTGGGAGGAAAAGGACTCTCCCTCGACCAAAACGACCGCAAGACTAAAACGACGAGGAACTTTTGGTAGTTGGAAGATCCAGGTGGTTTCAAAGAGGAAGCTGTTTCCTGTGAACCACCGGGGTATCTTGTCTTGACCACTCGCTACACAACGCATATCTATGCTAAACTGAACACAGAAAGATTTGTCAGGATTTGCGCGCAAAACTCCTCTGTCAGTTCTTGATCCGTGTTTTCTTCTTTTTCTACCACGTTTATCGGCGCATTTTCCAAGGCGTTCATGCCTCGGCGTGCTGCCGTCAGCCACAGACTCGGTCAAGGGGAAGGATCGCGAAGAATCTGATTTTTGAAGCTGCACAGGCCACGAAGCTTTAAAAACACTCCAGTGCGACATTGCTTTGTTATTTTCAGGCCGAATCTTTCTTTGCTGCTGCATTTCCTATGCTTGAGAAACAATTCTTTCTTTTTAGGAGGCAAGAACCTTGCTGCCTGCTGGGTGCCAGCTCGGCCAGAGGGTTTTTCTGTTCAGGTCCTGGCGCTGAATCAACGTGTGAAGTCTCAGGCAGAAGATGACACACATGTTGATCTATTCCCAACTCCCACAGGTTCAACGAAAGATTGGACGATGCCTGTGCAGATGATGTGAACATATGTGTGAAACATGCTGTACCACTTGCTGATTGGTGGACCAAACATCTATTCAACAACGTCACCGATGGGGCAAAGGGCAAAGGGGGGCATGCCTGTTGATGGTGGCCCTGGACTGAACCGAATGGATGCTCTCCCCAAAATGCCCACCGAGTGGTGTTTGATGTTTTCCACAGTCTTCGATTCTCCACCCCGATGACGAGCCCTCCTTTTGCTTCAGCTCGACGGTGGCCAGGCGGTGCAGTACAAGCTGCTCCACTCCCTCGGGAGCTTTGTCTCGTGCCTGGAGCCACCCTCCAGGCAGGGCCTCTGGGAGCACCATGTGCCCACCAGGGCCTGGGTGACAGCAATGGGTTACCAGGGCCCAGGGCCTTCCAGAAGAAACCACCTGGCAGAGGTGATGCAGAACCCCCCCCCACTTCTTCCTGGAGGCCTGCGCAAAGGTCTTGAATGAATGAGCCATATAATTCACTGCTTTAAGCCGAACGTCCTTGATGTAGGTGTCATTTGAGGCTTCGAAAGGTGGAGAGAAGGCTTCATGGAAACGAAGGAGTTTGTGGGTGTATTGCAGACCGTCAGGTGTCACATTGTGCAATTGAACCGTTTCCTTCACAAATGGTCACATGCACTGGTGTCTCATGGCGCCCTTTTTCCAGCCACAAGCAGCGACCAGCTGGAGGATCCAGCGCTACTTCGGGCTTTTGGTGATCTTGTCGGAAATCTCTTGGCTGGATCCCAGGCGAATATGCGAGCGGTGTGTTTTGAAGTCTCATGTGAGAGAGTCTCAGAGTCTCCGAATGGAAAGACCGAACGTTTGAATGTCCAACTGCTCAATCGTTTTATGCAAATAAGCTGTATTTGTTGGGCAAAGGTTGATGGCTTTTCTCACATTAGCAGCATTAGCATTCCTTGAATGGACATTTGGACAGCTATGTCGAAAAACTACAGGAAACAACGTCCGTAGAGTAGGATGAATCAAACCGTGCGCGATCCTCCTCTCCGCCAGCTACGTGCTCACCGCCCTGCACCGCCTGGTGTTCAGTCCTTCGTCCTTGAGTTGGGAAGCCGGAATGTCGGGCACCGAGCGAAGGCGAAGAGCCGAGCGAAGTGCAGCTGAGCGAAGAAGAGCTCCCCTGGAATTCATTTTTTGCTCTTTGGTTGCCTTCACCTCTTTAGTTTTGGTGCTTTCTGGGAGCTACAGTAGGATGTTTCTTAGGGTGACGGGAAACAACGGCTAAGTCACTGGCTCCTTGTGGATGTACAAACCAAACTGTGAGAAAGCCAGAGTCAGTTTGATGGTGGCACATCTATGGTACCCCAGGATTCTGCAAAAAAACCCTTCGGCCCTTCGGACATCCTGTCAGATGTGTATTGACCGTGTGCAGTACCCTGGCCTTTGGGGCGGACTCGCATCACTCCAAGTTCTGCATCGGTGGTGCCACCAAGGCGTGTTCTGATCACCTGCCGTCGGATGATCCTCTCTCATCCACAGGCCATGGCCATGGCAGCTGCGCGAACCAGGGGGAAAATGGGATTGAGGTCCATGATGGCCCATTTCAGCTGCTTGTTTGGGTGCGGTGTGGCGGTGTGTGTATAGTGTGTATGTGTTTGTGCAGACTCCAAAGGGTAGATCGCAGGAACACCCTTGAAGTCTCTTAGTTCAGGCAGTAATCTACCAGCCAATGCTGCGGCTTCTACAGCACCTGGCCACCTACCAGTCGAAGACTCAGCAAAGGCAGATCGTTGGCATGAAATCCTTCCAGAATAGCAATTGAAAGATGATTTTGACATGTGACATAGGCAAACAAATCTGGCACTCTTTCAAGCACACGAGAGCATTCTAGTGTTTCTTCGTTTATGTCATTTGGTCCGGTCCGGTCCGTCCTCAGGTCTGATGTGGACTTGAGGGACCGAGCGCTGTTGTATCTCAGGCTGGTCCGAGCGAAGGCTCCAAACACCCAAGCACAACGTTGGCCGGCCCAAAATACTAAGGTGAAGTGGGATGAAACAACATGAAGTGGCCACCCCCTAAGCCATTTAGTCGGCCTTGAGAACTGGTTCTATCATTATGCGTGTTTTCTTTTGGGACCACACTTAACACCTCAAGCCAGGATGAAGAAGCAGCGTTAAGCCATCAGCAAATGTTTTCAAAGACCTTGTCCTTGTGTGGACTTTCTGGGGCTTTCCGAGGTGAAAGCCCCAGGCCTTTCAAGAAATCAAGCCCTTTCCAATAAGGCCTGGGGTACACGCGGACAGTACACGGCAGTACACGCGGCACTGCTTACGGCGGCCATCGCCGTTGTGAAGGGGTCGTGTTTGGAGGCTCCTGTCACATTCAGGGCCTGCGGCCCTTGGGGCGCCAGAGCCTAAGGACCACTGTTGACGGAGAGTGCTTCTAAAAAATAGAACGCTGGGAAGTGTGAGAAGAGGATCCTTGCACAAGAAGTCGGTGCGATGCTTATTCCGACGTTGTGAACCTCTAACTGCTGCGCCCGCCGTGTTTGGATTCGCGTGTTGGGCTTCGGGATCGGGTGGGTCTTCGTGTCTGAGGCTCTTCAATCCACACCCTGGCAATATGCAGAGGATGACTCAGATGTTTGGGCGCCTAGACACAAGGGGCGCTGAGCGGAGGTGAGATGGTGCGACTAGGACGATCATTTTTGGGCGACTTAGGCATTTGCCGGATGAGGCAGTCGAGCCTCATAACAACGGCAAAGCACAAGGCAAGCTAAATAGGTGGCCCTCAGCAACCCACCAATGTGACAATCACTTTCAATATCTTTCAATCACTTAGACTTAGAGGGAAGGTGTTTTCCTGTCAACGTCCATTCGTGCGATGTTTTTACTCGGAATTCTCCTGGTGCCATCCCGTGGCCAAGAAGTCTTGGACGTTGCTAAGGCTATCACCAGTGCTGCCACTAACCGTGCGGCTTGTGAATGGACCGGCGCCCGTCTCAAACTCCACCGGGCGGTTTCTCTTTGATCAGTGAGAGAAATAGGAGAAGAGTTGAGACTTGGGATGTTGTAGAATCCACTGTATTTACCAATCCTGCCATCCCTTGATGTGCCTTCTATCTTGGTCACACGAAACCGGAGGGGTCGACGGCTTTGAGGTGCCCTTCCTCCGCTTGGTGAAGTCCCCGCAAGAGCGAAAGAGGCATGTAGTGTGATGGCTGAAGCAAGTGAGTGTGGCTGAACAAGTCCTTGGTTCCAGTGAGAGTGTATCTTGATTTTGGATGGTCTTGGGATGCTTGAGTCGTTTGAGCCCAACTCACCATGTAGGTCTGTTTTTGCAAAACTGCTGTTTGGTTTTCACATCTACTCTGGCGCACAATTACACACTTCCGGCTCCTATACAGTCGCAAGCCGCAGCAGTCTTCGTTTCGCCAGGCTCGGCCTACTGGACAGGCAGACGGCGGTCTTCGTTTTGCCAGGTCGTTTGGCCGGGTGTTTCGTGTGCCTCGGAGACAGCCGGGGCAACGGAAAACAGCGACAGAGTGACCAAGTGTCTCAGCTCTCGCCTTCAATGACCCAATTTTGGGATGCCAAGGTCTGAAAACATCCAAAGTAGTGTTGACCGTTCATCACCCCCCTCATGTATGAGGATGTTTGACCATCCAGGTACGGGGGTTTGATTCAACAGTCAACATGACTGGTTGTGACTCATGTGACCAGAGTTTCACGGTCCACGTCACGACCATGACTTTCTTGGAGAAACTGGGCTTGGTCAATGGGTGGCGAAGACGTGCGGAGCGTTGAGTGCGGGTGAAGAGCTGAAGAGCTTCCGAAGGGCTGAGAGTGATCCGCCTGCCCAAAAGGTTGGTGTGCTCTCACCGGCTCTCACCCCTTGCGATCACCAGGTGAGGAGCTGACCAGCGACTGGGAGAAGAGGCCGTGGCGACCCAGACTCGCGCAGGTCGTGGCCTCTCCCGGTAGACTCCCGGTAGACCACGCCGTCTCCAGCCACTCCCACCTGACCACCTGACCGTGCTGTGTTGGGGTGCCGCTGGCGACGCCAGGTGGGGTGACGCCGGCGTCGATCATCAGTTCCCCAAGGAGTGGCACCAGGAGTGGCCGGTGCAGCGGAGTGACCGGTGTGACCGGTGGAGGTGGCTGGGGATGCTGCGACCAAAGAGGGGGGTTTGCAAGCTTTGGGGGGTTGGAGTTGGTGATTGAATCTGAGACTCAACATGATCGAAATGCCCTGAACGTCGAACCAGGATTCTAAAGGTTTGGGCATTGGCCGCCATTTGGCCCTGTGATTTGCGAGTTGAGTAGGGAAAGAAGTCCACCGTTCGGGTTTGGGTGGCGAAGTCGACCATTTCTGTCTTCAGGACTTTGCAGAAACCGACTCTGAAGGCCACTGCCGCAGTGTGAAACATGTGAGACGGTGAGACGTTGGATTTGGTGCAGTGTGATGTTGGATTGGGTGGATGAAACCGAAACCTTTCTGAACAAATGTCCTTGCACAGTACTGGAGACCGCTGGAGACCGTTTCTTCTCTCTATCTAGACGGCCTCCAACCGAGTAGCTTCTTGCTACCAGTAGCTTCTTGCTACTATCATCTACTATCAGTAATGCCCTTGTTACTAGTAGCGATGCCCTTTTGACTACTTGCCACGTTCCAAGATCGAGGGTGAGGGGCCCCAAAAGCCAAACATGAAACGAATCCAACCGCAATTTTTGGGAGTGCCGTCTTTGTGCGAAAGACCCGCTTGAGCCTACACTGGTGGTCCAGTCTGGCTACGAACCTGCACGCGTCTGAGGTTTGGATGTGCTGCTGCGGGAGTACAGAAAGCTGTTGCAGGCGCTGAAAGGGGACGCAAGGGCTGGGGGGGAAGGGTGGTCGATTTGGCCACGAGATTTGCAGGTTCGTGGGTCACCACTGGAGAAGAGGTAGCCCTTTGCAGGCTTGCAAAGGTTGAACGCTTTGGTGAAGTGATAGGTTTGGACTGCTGGAGATGGCATGCCCTTGCCGATTGCCGTTGTTGAAGTCCATGTTTCATGGGAAGTTCTTTACCTGTGGTGAAGAGATCATAGTTGTGCAAAAGTGTTCGTTGGAGCAGGTTTGCCGACGTGCCTGGCCGAATCGCGACCACATCGGCCCTTCACACGCGCATTTTTCTATGGAAAGACATTTGGTCACTGGTTGATGGTTGACCACTGAAACTCGGGACCCAACCAAATATGAACCAACAAGGATGCTCCCTAACAGATGTCCACCGATCCCCTCGCATTTCCGGTGGTTGGTCTTGCTCATCCAGGCGTCGCCCAGCAGCATCCGGCTGCCCTTTGTTCTGCTGGAGCGCCGAGAGATGGTGATTGGCATGGATGGAATGTGCTTTCCGCACTAAAAGCAGTGATTGGGGAAGCGATTCCGAGACCAGAGCATTGACCTGGTTCGATAAAGCATCATGGAATATCCACCGTCCAGCTGATGTGTTGGCAAAGCTTGAATAGCCAAAGGTGACGAACACCAAACATGGCATGTTGTAGCATTGATCATAAGTAACAAAGCTACACACCGCATTCATGATCAGAACAAACTCATAGCAAATCACAACAATACTGGTGACTGTTGATTAATGTAACCCCCCCATTTAGATGGTAAAGTAAAGCCATGTAAAACCTCTTCATATAGTTGTTCTCCTTTTCAATCAACAGTCAACATTATCACACACACACACAATGCCTCAGCACTTCAGAGGATTTGTTTTCCATCTCTGAGGCACTACGAGGCGGCAGCGGATATGGTCTCTGAGGAGCGATAGGTCCCGGTCCATTGATTGAAGAGGGCGTTTGTTTCTGTTTTCTAGTGCTCCAATGGTTCTGGTGGGCTTTATTTCATGGTCATTGTTCCACTTGTGAGAATCACATTACGCTGGTTAAGCCTGTTCGCGCGCGTTATATAACTGTTTTGCAAAGGGGTACGCGCTCGCACCTCCGCAGGGTAAGTACTTTTTTACATCTTTTTACCGTTTTTGCCGCGCCTTTGGTACAGCAATTTGGCTAACAGACCTACAAAACGGAGAAACAGGGATAATTTTTGATGTTTGCCGTTGTTTTTAATCGTGTCGTGCCTCTGGTAAATAGTTTGGTCAACGGACCGGGAAAAGCGGTAAGCAACTTTTTCTTTTTACCAAAAATGGTCACAGCTCCAGTGAACCTCGCCTTTTGAAAACTACGAAAAGGAACCCCTCAACAGGGGTGCCATACACAAGAAAATGCATGTATGCCTTCTTGTTGGTGCTTCGGGCTAATGAGGGCCCTTGAGCTGACGGTAGGCTCAACACATGCTGTGCGCTTGAAAAGGCGCGATCCAGGTCATTTTTGTGGGAAGGTAGCTGTGGCCTTTCCTGTTGATTTTGTGTAGTAATATATATAATTAGGCGCAAGTAGGCGAGCACATATTTCCCTAGATGCACCCCGAAACCAGCTCGTTGGGCAGATTGTTCTTGCTTTAGGGTATGAAAAACCACAATTGTTGATGGTTTGCGAGTATGTTGAAGAGATCATACAGTATATATATATATATGAGAAAATGGGATATGTGCGCCTGAGCTCTGGCATGGGGGGCCGCTGTGTAGAGCTCTGAGCAGCAGGCAGCACGACACTTTTTGAGATGCAGCGTTCCATTGGAAGATGCATGAACATGTTCAAAACTCAGTGTTCCATGGTGTTCTTTCGTCCGGGTAGGTCGCACATTGGCGAATGCCTGGATGCAAGGTGCAGTTCTGCCAAAGCTCTTTTCTAGGCGCAACGAGGCCGTTGTCCTCCCATCCCCATCGTCCGGGGAGGTCGGGCACCGGGTCCATCTCAGGAGAACGGACTCTTGGAATCTCCCCGGCAGCTCTTCTCGCTCGAGCTGCCCGGATCCCTGGATCCATGCGAGTTCGGCGGAGACTCTTGCGGTTTGTGGGGTTGTGGTACTGGTGCTGGGAAGATTGGCGTTCTTTGACCAGTGGGGGAGGTGCGGGGCTAGTGAGCACTCATCAGTTCAAGCGACTGTGGCAACTTTGATCATGGGCTTTGTTCCACACGTTTTCATCCAAAAGAAACACTGAGCTACTTTTGGAAGTGTAGCTGTTTGAGCCGTTTGAGCTTTGGTTTTGGGTCTGGGTATATATCGTCGCCGTCGTACTATTTGTTTCCTGACCACTGGAAGGTGCAATTTCCACTTGAACGGCGCGACTGTACCATCTACTCAAAAGTTTCTGGGGGCTACGTTGCGTGTGCCAAAAATCAAGTCCTTATGCGGAACCGTGGGAAGCGTGTGAGGACCTTCTCCTCGAGTGAGCACTACTTGCCCATTGAGCCCATCCGAATTCCGTGCCTCGTCATTTGCAAGGCTACTGAGTGCTGTGGGATAGTCGCATGCAGACAACATACTGTGAAGGGTCGGGAAAATGCAGTTTGATATGAGAAATAGAAGATTGTCAAAGTATGTCAAAGTTGTATACAGAGGGTACTCCCAACAGAGTGTAGCTGCTCCGGTGTTCATCATTTTTCTCTTGCACATTAAATAACTACTTTTTTGAGTCCAGCGCCGGCACATCTTCCTGGGCAGATTTTAAGAAGCACACCTAAGATCCTCTGAGTCTTTGGAGTCCTTGGTCCGTCACTTGAAAATGGCTTCGGGATGAGGTTCTACCAGAATCTCAGCTCTAAGGTTCATCGCTGCGAGTCAGATGGACGGGCGCCGGCGGTCGCCCGTGCTCAGTTGCCCATTCTTACCATGTCTCCAACGACTGAGCCACATTTCAGATCATCACAGATCCTATTTGCCTGCAATAAGAGCACATCCCGTCTTTGATCCAACGAACACTTTGAACCTGTCTTTGCTTTGCTGGGTTTCAATGAGTCTTTGCTCTGCCTTGCAGGAGGAAGAGGAAGAATCTGGCTTTCCATGCTTGCCAGCTCAGCACGTCTTGGGGCTCTCCCGAGCGGGAGATGCCGTCTGGCCGTCGTGGGCCAGACGGCCCGCAGCTACTAAGATTTTGGAGTCTGTCCGTCTTCGTACACTGGACCAGTGGTTCAATGTTCGAGATTGTTGGAACAAGGTGTTGAAACATTTGCCTCTTCCAAACTTCTGCAAGATGCTACGGAAGTCCTCCTGTTGGTAGCAGCGTTTGTGAAAGATTCTTCCACCGAGGGTGGGAAGCTGGAATCAGCTGGAATGTGTTCATGAAATTTCATGAGCTGTGACAACATTGAGCCCAACATTCTCATGCCTCGTGCAAGTTCTTGTGAAGTTCCATACCAGTGCACACCCTTAGCCAGGAACAAGCTGTTGCTCCGACTCCGGCCCTTGAGCCCAGTCCCAACCTCATTTGGTGCCGGGGGTCTCAGCTTTTGTTCGTGTTTGAACTTTGAAGAATGCTAATCGCAACTCCTTCAAACTGCAAGATACTGAACGCCTTGAGCGTCTTGTTGATGTACTTTTGCAGGCATTTACAACCCCACGGTCACATGATGGGACATTAGTTTAAAACATTTACATACCGCTGGTTGCCAGGGTATGTTTTGTCCACCCCGCTTGTGGCCTTGTGAGGTGCGAGGACATCCGAGGAAACTGGCTCACCCCAACAGATGTTCATCGAGGTGTTGGCCACCAAAGAGTTCTTCATGCCAAGTGGTGGTCACCAAAAGCAAGGATCGTTTGGCGACGACCACCGCCCGCACCGGCAAAGGACGGTCTCGATCATCACTCGGCTTTTTGGACCCTGGGAAACACGTTTAGTTATGTCTTTCTTTACAATTTGCAAGCATTGTTGGATGTATGATATACCACCCATTGACGTTGTACATGTTGCAGGGGTTCCAAATTATATCCGACAATGCCTGCAAATGAATATATCTTGGACCTCTGAAACATGTAGAATTTCAACGACACATAGAGTGAATATATACAGTAAGTGTGCATGACCGACACAATACTTAGAGATGAATGCAGCATGAATTGGATGAACAAAAAATAACGTCGCTATTATCACTCTATTTCTGGACCCTCTTGCAATTGTTATGTCTTTCTTACAACTTTTTGCAAGCACTGTTGGATATAATTTTTGACCCCCTTGAACTTGCACATTTTCAGGGTGTCCAAATTGGATGCATGTTGTCCAATAAAATAACACACTTGCAACCAGCTCATGCATATGATACAATCAGTGAAACATACATTAAGACATAGACTGTTGAGAGGACTCCTCTCCCAGACACACCTTGTGATGCAGGATATGCATTTTCGTTCCCAACCGAAAATGACAATTACCCCCTAGCTAAAGCTATGTATCGGTGAACGCGACCCAAAACCTTCGGTGCGGGCGGATTTTTCAGAGACAAGACCACAGGTTTGCATCCCTCCAAAGGCTGGTGAAAGGTTAAAACTGTGTGTGTGTGCTTTACGTGCTGAACAAGTGACATCGCTTTGCAACTGCTGTTGCATGCTGTAGTCGTGGGGCGTTCCCATTGCTCCAGGTAGTTTGCTTTGATGATGGTTGCGCCAAGGTGAACATTGCCTTCAACGACAGCTTCAGCCAAATGTACTTAGGCAGGAAATTTAGATGTTGGAGAACCTCCGGGGTTGGTTGGAACGCACCCCACCCAAGCTCTAGGCCCTCTTGAAGACTCGGGTCTGAGACCAACGAATCACCATTTCGGTTGTGGTTGGTGCCCTTCCCGGTTCCCCGTGACGCTTCTTCCAACGGTGCGTTCTTCGCCCGGGGCGGTCGGACCGCCGGCGGTTTGCAGGACAGCTGGAAGCCTTTGAAGTGGCCTTTCAGGAGCAAACTGGCCTTGCGAAGTGCTGTGAAGTGGTCTAGTGAGGGAACACCCTGATACTGGGAGGTGAAGTTTCCGTGTTAATTCTACCTCGCAGTTGGTGGCCTAACCCAATGTGTTCGTGTTGGCCAGAGCTCACTGCATGGACCCTTTGTAATTGGAATGAGCTCTATGTTCGAATCACCAGATTGGCAATCAGAGATCGGCTGGCTCAAGGGTCTATTAGTATAGATGCTTCAGAGGCCAATGTGCAAGCTGGCTGTCAAGCCGTTGGCGTTATCAGCAAATCAGCTGTCAGCAAATGCCGTAATTTGCACGGGCTTGCTTTGCACCCTATGCCAACTGGTTTGCGCAACCCTGAAGGAAACTCCGAATTTGGTTTGCCAGGCGGATGGCGAATCAGAAAAACATAGGAGATTTGTGAATTGCTTTTTGCTTGATCTTCCCATCGAATAAGCCCTCGCAGAGGAAGGGTCCATTTCCAAAGTTGGTGGACATAAAATTTTCAGAGATGCCATTTGCCTGAGTGGACTGGACTGCACCATGGCAGCTCCCGACGTGCTGGGCTCCACTGGCAGGGAGCTGATGCGCTCACGCTTGGTGAACGCCTGCGAGGCGGCAGAAATGGCGAAGATCACGGAGAACTCACCCGCCTGCATTCAGAGCCCTTGGGATGAATAGGTCTAACAACCCTGGTGAACAGTCAACATCAGGTCTTGATGTTGATTGAAGTAAAACAGCATATGTCTCTACTGGATCCTGCGATCCAAGTCCGAATGCTAACCATGTGTGCTCGATTGAAGGATGTCCTTTGCAGATGTTCAGTCCATGACTGAAGCCAAAAGCGAAAGAATTGGGGAGGTTTTGGACTCGAATCATTCATCTTGGTCTTACACAAACCAAGTCAAGCTCAAAAAACACGGTGATATTGGCTATGTGGGAGGACAAGCCAGCTACCAGCCGCTTGACCAGCTACACATACTCACTCAGGCGATGATTGGAGAGTGAAGCTGGGTGCGGCTGGTGCTCTGAGCTCTTTGGTCCAAGTGGGTCGCCGAGGGACGTGGATGGCTGGGTGAACATGACACGCAGCAGCTAGGTCCACGGGCGAGTGGGAGCCTGCTGGCCAGGGTGCTGGAGAGGTGATCTGTGCTTGTCCCCAAACAGGTTTACCTGTATGGGGGTTCTTACTCCTTTCAAAGGGTTGCATGCCTGGGCCGGATGATTTTGGCTCTTTTTTTTGCGGGTTGCGTTCCTCGGTGATGTTTTCTCTGCATACTCTGGCTACACTTGGCCGGATGTTTTTACACTTGTCTCCTCGTGTCTCCCTGCTTGTCTCCTTGCTTGGATACTCTTGGCTGGATTGCTCTGGATGCACTTGCCCGATGACCTTACACTTGTCTCCCGCTTGTCTCCCTACTTGTGTCTCCCTTCTTGTTACACTTGTCTCCACTCTTTGTTTGTCTCCGTCTCCCTGCCTAGACTCTCTTGGCAGCATGCTGTTATCCCTGCTTGTCTCCTTTATGGTTACACGTCTCCACGTGTCTCCCACTTGTCTCGGCCTATTCTGTTATTTTCTTGTGCCTCTTAAGAGCGCACATGTCCAACGTGTGTGTGTGTGTGTATACATACACCCCCCAAAAAGAGAACACGTACCTTTTAGATCCTTTTAGACAAGTTCATGTTTGGAGATGAGGGTGCGTGTTTTCCAGTGTTCTCGAAAATGCTTGTTTTAGGACTTTGCATGTTGAATGTGTTCAGACGTTGAGGACGAGACCTCGTAGTTGTTGGTAGGTGCTCGTTGTCTGCTCGTGAGTAGTAGTCTTCCTAGTTCTTTTTTCTGCCGACCCCCCCCGAGGTACTACCCTGCCGAGGTGCTACCTGTGAGTCATCAAGCTCCCACAGGTCACATGAAGCTCCCACAGCTCACCCGCACAGGTCAAAGGGTGAATTGTATTAGCATATATAAGCATCACATTTGTCACTCCCATTACCATTGCCATTAGCATAACCATTGCTACAGGTCACAGAGTGTGTGGCCTCAACCTCCCACAGGTCACAGGGTGATTGGCCTCAAGCACCGGGTGAATGGCATTATCATCACCATTGCGTTTGCATTGCCATCACCATTTGCACTACCATTGCCGCAGGAATTGGCATTGCCATTGTGATCCCTATTGCCACAGGTCGACGGTGAATGGCATCAAGGTCCCACATAGCATTGCCACAGGTCAAGGGCGAATGGCCATTAGCAGTACTATTTGCATTGCCATGAGCATTCCATTGCTATGAGCATCAGCATTAGCATTGTCATTAGCATTCCCAGCACCATTACCGTTTCCATTAGCATGGTGAATGGCATCAAGCTCCCACAGCTCACAGCATCCCATCACCATTGCCATTAGCATCACCACATGTCAAGGTTCCATCATTAGCATCCATTAGCAGCACCATTACAATTTGCAATTCGGTTTGGATTCCCAGTACCACAACTCAAGGGTAAATGGAATCAAGCTGCCACAGGTCACAATGCACATATAGGTGCATAGCTCCCACAGGTCAAAGGGTGAATCGCGTTCCATAACCATTGTCATGAACATAACCATTGCCATTAGCATTGCCACACGTCACAAGGTGAATAGCCATAACCATTACCATTAGGATTGCCACCGCTATTGGCATCAGCATTAGCATTGCCATTAACATTGCCAGTGCCATAAGCATTAAAAATAGATTGGTGGCCATCAGGTTCATATTGCTAGCATTCAGGTTTTCAAACTTTCTGGAAAAACTGCCCCGCTACCACATGCAATACTTGCTGCCCTGGCAAAGGTTCAGTCTTCGAGTCAGCATTTTCATTGTTTGAAAGAACCCACACTGCTCCCAGTGAAGGAGTTGAATCACTTTTTGAGCCACAGGCCACAGGGAAAATGGCATTATGGTGAGTGGCATCAAGGTCCCACATAGCATTGCCACAGCTCAAGGGTGAATGGCCATTAGCAGTGCTATTTGCATTGCCATGAGCATTACCATTGCTATGCTGTTCAATTTGTGTTCTGAAATCTCACCAAATCATTCGCTTCTCACGGGAACAGTAATGCGCAGAGGAAGAGCCACCTGCGAAGATCCTCTCCTGCCATTGCAGACGACTGGTTCATACCTCATACTTGGACACTGTCACGCAAACCACAGCAAGACAAAGAACATCAGAACTGTCAACTGATACAATCTTAAATCATCTTGGCCGGAGACGGCTTTCCCAAGCATGCCCCAGCTGTTAATAAAACGTGAAAGACGTGAACGACTAACTTATTCCAAAAATGACCAGGTTCTTCTCGATCTCAGGGACACTGGATTGTCGGCCCTCGTCCTTTCGAAAACACCGAGGTTTACAGGGGGCGCCGGCGCTTTGGGGATGCAAAGAGATCCGCCGAGCTTTGGGCGATGAGAGCAGCCGGCCATTGGTCTTGGAGACGTTCGCCAGGCCAGTTGAAGATTTTGGGGGTATCACTTCCAGGGTGCTGGGGCGTTAAGTGACCCAAATTCGTGGGGCTGTATGTTCCAATTCATGCAGGAGGGACACCCTGCAAATAGCCATGGTCGCGGCAGTGGTCTGACAAACTTGTAAATTAATATTTGAACATCCATTGATTGGTTGGAGGTTATACCCTCGCATCAACCTTCACAGGCAGCCATTTTCACCTGTTTATCTACAATGGGCAGGGACCTCACATCGAATTTTGTTTCATCCAGGTCGCAACCATCTGCAGCGATCAGCAACTTTGAGCGAACTGCGCAACTTTTGAGGAGTGAGGACTGGAGGCGGGGTACGCTGGACGACGGGTCATGACTGCAGTACTTTTTCCCCCTCTATGGGGTTTGTGATTCGCTCCCTAAATTGAACAGACTGATGAACATGATGAACATGATAAACATACAGAGATAACGAGTGGCTTGATGCCTTTCCAACGACAACGAGCCGTGTGGCTGGAGGCTTCGCTTGGGTGCTATCGAGTCCCTGGCGCGTCATCCAATGCCAACGGAGCCTTGCCAAGCGTGCGGCTTAGGTGCTTGACATCCTAGACTGACTTGAACAGCTTGACAAGGTTTTAATTGTGGCAAGACGCCCCAACAAGTTATGGACTTTTGTTGAAAAACAGAAACGCTACAGCATGGTATAGCAGTATAGCCCACCCATCAATTTTTTTGGGAAACAGGGAGGGTGTTGCTTTGAACGTCCCAAGGACTTCGCCTCGGCGCTGGCACTCTGCTGCGTGGCGCGGCGGCCGGAGCTGCGCCGCGCGGCCGCCGGCGTGTTGCGCCGCGTGGAGCCGGAGCTGCGGGCGCAGGTGCTGAGCCAAGCGTTGGAGGTCGGGGATGGATTGGCTTGGCGATGGATGGGGATGGATGGGGTTGGGGCCTCAGTGCGTTCCTTTGATGAATTTGATGGGGGCGGCTTTCATATTCTTTTTCTAAGAGTGGCTCCAGGAAGTTAATGTCGGTGTGCAGTGCTTGTAGTGGATCATAGTGGAATCATAGTTCAACAACGTTCACAAGGTGTCTTGGCGCCGATCATTTCGTCATGGTAAATGCACGCCTGAGAGGCAGTAATAATATGTAACAGTGGTGATGTTAGGGTGCCGGGTGCCGAGCTGAATGCGCCTGATGCACCGAAAAGTGCGTCCGGCGGACGCCTTTCTGGGAGGATCCAGTGCGTCCTGCGACGCCAGGAGCCTGACACTCAAGAGGATCTCATGGCTTTCCGTGATGGTGAACTCCTGCAACTTGGTCTCCATGATATCTCATGTCGCCTGCAACGCGCTTTTTTGCCGACGCGGCTTTTCGACGCGGCGGGTGTCAGGACATGTGTCAGGACACGTGTGTAACAACACTTTTCTGTGGAACATTGAGTAGTCAATAGCCTCTGCCATACTAAGTTTTGATTGCGGAGTATTTTTCCAAGGCTTGGGACTGGGAACATAGAGGTTGTCCTGTGATTCTGGGTGTGTCTCAAACTTAGGTAGAGCTTCCCAACTGCAGT